ATTGTGACTACATTAACGTCTTCCTCCATTTAAATGACAAGAAATTTCATCGCAGTTGAATCCTGTAAAATTTAATGTTTTTCTGAAAGTGGAATAGGGCAACGTTACTTTCATACGTAAGAGGTTGCTGTGTCAAAATTATCAGTGTATGCAAACTTAAACCACAGGAACTCAGAATAAACTGTCAAATGGTATGACCGACAGTATTAATAAGTTAGAGGCAGACATGCACACTTGACAACAACTAGGCATATACGGCGGAAACAGCAAACCAGTAAATTTCAGTGAGCATGCTGATGACTTAGTCACATTTGATCTTGACCTGGCGGCCTGTTCGAATTCTTGGTCAGCTATTCTACTATCTATATATTGCATCCAATCTACGGTTTACGCACATCATTTATCACATAAACATGAATTCTAACAGGATTATTTACTCTCGTAACTTTATCAATCATTTAAGATCAAATCACTTCCATATTCCCAAGAATTTAACTACGGCTCCTGTCATAATTGACACAAACTGCCGCCCTCTGCCAAACAAGATAATGTAACTGAAATCTCTGGTGTCCACTGACACTTATCATAATACTGCTATAATCTTATTGCAAGAAACGTGGTTACATGAACCTTATGATGACAACCTTATCTCACTAAAGGACTTCGTATTACTTAGACAAGACCATCACTGTTGCAGTAAGAAAACTGATGGTGGCGTTGCAACTTTTATTCACTCCAAATGATCTATTTCAAATAACGTTTGTTTCCCATTCTCAAATGACTCCATAGACTGTATGTATTACCATCAAATGTCGTCCCAAACACCTCCCTAAATATAAACAAGTCTTTGTTACAAACGTGTACATTACGCCTAGTTGCTCACTATCAGATCCACCAAATTTCGCTGATGAATTCACCATGTTTGCTGCTGCCAACTTTGACAACTCTCTGTCTGTTATCACTGGTAACTTCAATTCCTGGGACTGCTCTTTCCTTCAAGCACTTGGTCATACAAACATAGTGAAATTTCCTACTCGATTTGACAAAACATTCGATTTACTTTTCACAAGCGACGAAGGAATATATGAAACACGTAAACGTGCACCGATACTTAACTCTGATCACTGCATTGTTCGCGTTTTACCAAAAATATACAGCAAAACTCATATTAAAGTCTTCTCACACCTTATCTATGAAAACAACAAAGATGCTACACATCTGACAACCTACTCAATCTCAGGTGCATGTTAAAAATACTAACTGGGATTTATTCAATGAAAGTACATTAGATGACACAATTGCCAATATAACGGAATGTCTTAAGTTCTGCCTCGATATATGCTGTCCTAAACAAACACTATTCAAAAGCTTCGACCGCTTTTCGTCTCCACGTTTCAAAGAACTACGTAGGCAAAAAGAAATGTTATATCAACCCAAAGGTAAATTAGTACTTAGAAAGATTGATGCTCTAATCAAATCTGAAATCAAAAACCTCAATGCTATGTATAATCATACACTTCTATCATGCAAATCTCCTACCGACATGTGGAAACTTCTTAACGAAATTACTGGCAATGATAAGCGATGCAATGTTTTTCCCTTCTAGCGGTGAATAATTCCCCAAAATTATTGACCACAGCAATCATCACTGAACATTGGATGCTGACCAACACTGTTTCAGTCGACTGGGAACTCCGTCGTGTCACGATCGCGCACGATCACTAGCCAGTTCAGCAATCATCTCGGTCTACGATTTGGTCTCGAAATACATCTCGTTATTTGGACGATCAATCGTGTCTTCTGCTTTGCCTTTGGTCCACGAGGAACGAATACTACAGAAGTTGTTGGTATTAGACCTAGCTTTAGTATACTCCGTACAATCCGCGAACGTCGATACTGTCAGCCTCTAAACTGGTAATCCCAACCGCGAACTTCATCCTTGATAAATACGCCGACAAATCCGGTGAGTTCGTTCCCTTTCGTATTTGTTCTTGTACTATATTGTAATCGGCATACATTTTGTCATGAGTGATCCTAGTCCTAAGGTCAATTCGTATTCGCTCAACTGCCAAAACCATTCAGCCCGTACCATTTTGGCCAGATAATGCCGAAACATGGTTTCAGATAGCTGAGTCTGATTTTAGTGAGCATTGGATAACCAATCAACGTTCACAGTTCCTTGCAGTTATTCACGCCCTACCGCGGGAATTCATCAAATGCGTAACTGTGCAGATGTCGAGTCCAGAGGTAAGTAACTTGTACGAGTTGCTTAAAGCAAACCTCCTAAAGAGACGTTTTCACGGATAGACGGCGTCTGGACGAATTATTTCGTAACGTCGAGGTAGGGGATCAGTCAGCCGTGAACATGCTATCAAGAATGAGAGAAGCTATTGGCCAACGTCAGTTTGATGATGGACTTCTTCTTATCCAAACTACCACAGTCAGTACAGACTGTACTTGTGACACTTCAGGCGTTATCATAGATGACTTATCTGTTTCTGCAGATAAAATTCTAGAAATAACTAAATGACCAGCTACTGAAATATGCTCAGTTGCCAAACAGAATTCGATTAGGGATACTGCAGTGATAGAGTTACGCAACTCCATCCAGCAGATGCTTAGGTCAAACATGCCTTGTAATTCCTCCTACCGTCGTCCGAACTCCCATCAACAGCGAAAATCACGTGGTCGATCTAAATTCAAGCCATGTTCACTAAAAAACCCTGACTGGTGTTGGTATCACAACACTTATGGCCAGGAAGCGAAATGTTGCTGAGACCCTCTTGTGATGTTAACGCTCTTTATCACTTCCCCGTTACTAAAGCTTATGGAAAAACTAGTACTTCTTAAACTTGAACCCTCCCTTAAAAGTTCTGAAGACCCCAAACAATTTGCATATAGCCAGTGTAGGAGCACTTAAGATGCTGCAGCCGTCTTAAGCATCAGTATCGTCTCATCATTAGATAAAGGTGCCAAATACGTTCGTTGCACGTTTCTTGACTTCACTTCTGCTTTTGGCTCTGCACCCAGATGTCTCTTGCTAAATAAGCTCTCTATGACAAACTGAGTCCTGGGTCACTAACTGGTTGCAATCCTACTTCTCTAACAGAATGCAGTACACCGTAAATAAAGGTTAATCCTCCTCTGCTGTGCTCACCGAAGCTGGTGTCTCCCAAGGTGCTGTACTCTCCCCATTTCTCTCTTTCTACATGACTTACCATCTTCAAATGACATTAATTTTGTTAAATATGCTGACGATCTGACTGTATCTTTGCTTGTCAAATGTTAAAGTGACTGCTCCAAACTAAATGGCTTTTTATCAGAAATCAGCCATTGGTCCAAGGAAAACGGTCTTACCTTAAATCCCCCTAAAAGTCATACAGCCAATTTCACCTTTAAGCATAATTCTGACCTAAATAAACCGGTTAGCACTCACGAGATGTGCAACATACATGGCACTGAAATAGAGACCAAGTCAGAAATCAAATATCTTGGCGTCATTCTATTAGCTGATCTTTCCTGGTCGTTTCATATCTTGATGATTTCTAAGAAAATATTCCGTCTTACCTTCTACATCAAGAAGTTAAGGCATCCTGGAATAACCTAACCCTTACTCGTGCGATTCATTAACTCTCGCATTCTGCCTATTATTCTGTATTGTTCCCCCTTAGTTTTTCCAGGGCTACTGAAGAAAGACTATGTCTAATTATGTAGGGTGTTAAAGGTTGTCAGCAGGGTAAGCAATGTGCCACTTAACCAGCTTATTAATATTCTGGTCGACAGGTACTCGGACTCATGTGAAAAATCCATGTTATCTAACTCACACCACCCTCTTCATTCACAACTCTCCCCTTGTATCTCATCGGGCAAAACCAGAAACCTACACAGAAAACTATATGCTCGCACTAGCGAGTACAAAAACTATACCGTACCCTACTTAGCATTATCGCACCGAACACGAGCTAAGCAGGGTACGGTATAGAAGACACGATTGATCGTCCAAATAACGAGATGTATTTCGAGACCAAATCGTAGACCGAGATGATTGCTGAACTGGCTAGTGATCGTGCGCGGACGTGACAGTGTGACACACACGGACCACAGCCACAACTGACGAAGGATGAAGACAAAGAAGGCGAGGAAGAGGCGTTTATTTGAACCAAGCCAGGCTTGAATTAACCGGGATACAAGCTAATTATCATCGTTTATAGATAAACTAGATAAACGGACTTCCTCCTGTTCCAGTAAGGCCACGTCAGCGTTTCTGTCTGAAAAAGAAACTTATTTTGTGACTTCATGGTGGTTTTTATTCTATTACATTGCCTCCTCCCTTCTGGAAGCACTGTCCTCAGTGCCTGGCGGTGGTATGGGATACGTCCCAAATCGACAAAAATGGGGAAAATCGTGTCTAAAATGGGGACAAAATGGGGAAATAGTAAGATTTTCCCCATTCTCCCCATTATAAACCCATTTTCCCCATTTTGTAAAGTCCCGTTGTCCCCACCATAACCCCATTTTGTCCCCACAATTTCCCCATTCTGTCCCCACTATTACCCTATTTTCCCCATTCTGTCCCCACAGTTTCGCCAGTCTGTACTCAGAATTCGCATAGTTCCCCCATTTGGTCACCGCGATTACGCCATTTCGTCCCCAAAAATCGCATTATTTCATTATACTGTCCCCGGGATTTCTCTATTCTTCAATCGAATATTACCACCATAATTTGTCCCCCTTTTTAACGAATATTCCACCGTTAACCTGGCAAATTTCCCCCCTATCACTCATTTACTACAGCTTTATATTGATTACGTCAAACAACTCAAAAGTCAAATCAAGGTTTTTTACCGGACAAAATTATATTTGATTTTTTTGAGTTAAAGGAAAACAGTTTACAAGATTTCGGTAAATTAATTCTTTAGGATTAATGAACAATTTCAGTTGCGATGAATACACACAGGTGGAATGATAGCCTTGTTATTCAATATCTCATTGCACTTGCACTAATTTTCCCCATCGTCAAGTAGATCCATTGAAGTGTCCTGAAAAGAAAGAAAAATTATTCATTAAGATAGTAATCCACACTGGCACTTATACAGACAGTTGACACTGTAATAATGAAATACTAAACGTGTTCATTCAGGTTTGAAATTTTATTTCGTTAATGAGTATAATTAAAATTATTTGTCTATATAATAGAAATACTCACACTTAAAGACCTTAAGTTTCAGTAATTTCTACAGCATGTACTTATTTAAATGGTAACTTACAGGAGAGATCCTCTGATCACTTTTCTTATTGTCAACTGCAACCTTTAAAAAATAAAAACAATTTAGTTAATTGATATTTATAACATGAAAGGGTTTGCAGTGTATACACTGCAATGCTACTATAGTAGCATTAATTTAACCAAAAACGTTTACTTACTCTTCGCCGGCTATCCCTTTTGTCTATGCGATCACGTATATCATGGAAGTAGGCCTTTACAGTCTTTTTTAGAATTTTCTTAACGTCGTCATCAAAAATTGTAGCCGAAACGAACTTGCTGACAATGACGGCTAAAAGAAATAATTACATAAAACAAGCTTACACGTTATAACTGCATAAAAGGTGCATTTAGTGAGAGCCAATTTCTTTGGAGTTCCAAATGCTGTAAAACGACTTGACAGCTTAGGATCCATAACATAATTTAGCATCGCTCTCAACGAAGACTCCGGATTGAAAGATAATTTTTCCACCATTTTCATCATCTGAAATTAAGTAAAGGTTTATTGTGAACTTACGAATGATTCTTTAAATTTGGGATTTTTAAGTGACGCTTCTAGTTGGGTGAATTCTTCTTCAGTAGTTACGGGGAATTGCAGTTGACTATTGTCAATGGTTGATTTCCCACTTCCAACGGCGGCCACACACGTTGACTTATTCACTGACAACAATTGCGCCATCATTGTTTTCAGCGACTGAGGTTCTGCTTTCATTTCTCCTTTAAAGGAATGCATTTCTCCTTTAAGGGACTGCAACTCATTGGCTACTTTATTATCTGATTCACAGTTTTCCTTACTGCAAAGTAAATACTAATGAAAAATGACATACGTAGTCTGCTGAACTAGTTGCGCTATAGGTGAAGAAGTTGCCACTGGCATTTGTTGAGTGGAAGTGCTGCAGGAGTAATGATATTAAAGGAATGCGTTACCTGGCTATCGGTGACATAACAGTTTCCATGAAATTTGTTGTCGGGTATTTTGAAGGCAAACAAACTTTCTGTGCCTCCACTGCTTCAAGTTCCATTGAGTCGTAAGCGTAAGACGAGTTCTTTGTCTCAACTCTGCATCCTGTGATTAAGCAATAAGAAGAATCTACCTTGGACGTTTGGAATTGGTAAGAGGTAATGTTTCCTCCATATTATCTGAATTGGAGAGTACACTGTGTATTCGTTTAGTAGCCTGCAAAGTATTCTTGGCTTCTACGAAAGAGTCTAATTACAGTAATGTAGGTAACACGTAAATAGTTACCTAGTTCAGCTAACATTTGACAATCCGTTAACACCCATTCCGGTCGAGGTCTTACGCAAGCCTCAACTTCATTATCTGTTATACTGCTATGATACAAGCACAGGTCTTCGGATAGCATCCAACTTCTGGCAGCTATGAATAATTCTTTGGACCCAGCTTTCCGTAATACAGTATAATTCTTTTTTTCTTTCTGTAAGAAATGATAAATATGATGTAAACAAAATTTACTGTCTTATTAGTCCGCTTGGCAATTGAATGCAGGAATGCCGACGATTGACACAACTGTCTAAGCAGGTTATGGAAAAGTATGAGGCAAAGGCACCGCAACTGCATACCTATCTGTACGAATTCCAAAACACTTACAAGTAATGTCTGACGGACGAATCTCTACCTTGTATGGGCTAACTTTTGAGCACTTCCATATCCCAATGTGGGATGACTTAAATGGTTCCTCGAAGAAATCACCACACTCTGCATAAGGTCTGAATATTAGTCCATCCCTATTTATCTCAGTTATCAGACCCGGTCTACCGTAAGCTATAACTAAGTTATCTGGTGAAGAGGAAGTAATGAGTGTATTCCTAGTATTAACTGTTTGCCTACGTGCATCCACCTCACACTCATTTAAAACTTCATTGCGTACTCCTGATTTGCAGTCGTGGAACACCTTTTCAGCAAAACGGTTTGCCGCTTGCTTAGCGATTGCATTGTTTGAATGTATTGATCGCCTTATTGTCTGCATATAAGATTCAAATGGGAAGGCCGAAAAAGATTCCAACGGTCCCATTTGATTGACATCTTCGGCCAAGTGTTGCAGACAATGGATGTTATAAACTAGGTGCTTCCTACCATATATAACCTCAAACTCATTAAGAAAGTTGATTAACTCAACTCTGCAACCTTCCAAGTAATTTCTATGAAATCTAGGGTGAGACAAAAGGTAAACTGCTAGACTTAATCTTTGGAAGTTTCTATAAATTGCCGGTGGCATTATGTCCTTAAGTACAACTGGTCCTAGGTACAAGAGGAACAGGCGACATTCTGTGGCTTTCCACCGACTGACTTCGGTTAGCCCCCTACATTTCCTCGGGAAGTCCCTGGGTGTCATTCCAGCACAGTCTAATATCTTCCCGTCAATATTTCCTAGCATAAGACGGTCCACGTGCATCTCATTCTTTTTAGCTAAGTCTTGCCAGAGACTTACAAGCTTCCTAACTACCCCTAAGTACACTAGGTGCATTGGATCAAGGGGAAACACTTAACCATATCAATGTTTAATTCCTCAAAAATGCAGTCTCCACGGTGGTGACTTGACTGCATCCTTTGACGGAAGCTGTCATCAGTTCTTATTGGGAAGAAGCCATTTCCAAATATCATTCTTCCATCAACTTTAACTCCAGTGACTGTGCATTTGTCGCAACCTGAACTAGCATTATGACCTATTATATACTTCAAGTCCGCTCTAGCCGGTGCATCACAGGTGACGGCTGTTAAACGAACGTTGAAATGCCTATGAAGTCTGGTAATGTGTATGCCTTGACTTAATATCTCCTTCAGTTCAGATACTAAGTCAATGCATAACTCTTTGTAACTGCTGGGCTTGCTAGGACCACCATATATACCTATCAAGAAAACACTGCTTAAAAACGGTGCCGTAATCCTACCTAACAGGGGCCATAACTGCTGGTTAGTAGACTTCGAGATGGACAAACTACATGGAGATGTCGTCTGTGATTGAAACTCCCAGCAACATAATTGACCTGCAGTTGAATGTCGACGGTTTGTCCATCTCGAAGTCTACTAACCAGCAGTTATGGCCCCTGTTAGGTAGGATTACGGCACCGTTTTTAAGCAGTGTTTTCTTGATAGGTATATATGGTGGTCCTAGCAAGCCCAGCAGTTACAAAGAGTTATGCATTGACTTAGTATCTGAACTGAAGGAGATATTAAGTCAAGGCATACACATTACCAGACTTCATAGGCATTTCAACGTTCGTTTAACAGCCGTCATCTGTGATGCACCGGCTAGAGCGGACTTGAAGTATATAATAGGTCATAATGCTAGTTCAGGTTGCGACAAATGCACAGTCACTGGAGTTAAAGTTGATGGAAGAATGATATTTGGAAATGGCTTCTTCCCAATAAGAACTGATGACAGCTTCCGTCAAAGGATGCAGTCAAGTCACCACCGTGGAGACTGCATTTTTGAGGAATTAAACATTGATATGGTTAAGTGTTTCCCCTTGATCCAATGCACCTAGTGTACTTAGGGGTAGTTAGGAAGCTTGTAAGTCTCTGGCAAGACTTAGCTAAAAAGAATGAGATGCACGTGGACCGTCTTATGCTAGGAAATATTGACGGGAAGATATTAGACTGTGCTGGAATGACACCCAGGGACTTCCCGAGGAAATGTAGGGGGCTAACCGAAGTCAGTCGGTGGAAAGCCACAGAATGTCGCCTGTTCCTCTTGTACCTAGGACCAGTTGTACTTAAGGACATAATGCCACCGGCAATTTATCGAAACTTCCAAAGATTAAGTCTAGCAGTTTACCTTTTGTCTCACCCTAGATTTCATAGAAATTACTTGGAAGGTTGCAGAGTTGAGTTAATCAACTTTCTTAATGAGTTTGAGGTTATATATGGTAGGAAGCACCTAGTTTATAACATCCATTGTCTGCAACACTTGGCCGAAGATGTCAATCAAATGGGACCGTTGGAATCTTTTTCGGCCTTCCCATTTGAATCTTATATGCAGACAATAAGGCGATCAATACATTCAAACAATGCAATCGCTAAGCAAGCGGCAAACCGTTTTGCTGAAAAGGTGTTCCACGACTGCAAATCAGGAGTACGCAATGAAGTTTTAAATGAGTGTGAGGTGGATGCACGTAGGCAAACAGTTAATACTAGGAATACACTCATTACTTCCTCTTCACCAGATAACTTAGTTATAGCTTACGGTAGACCGGGTCTGATAACTGAGATAAATAGGGATGGACTAATATTCAGACCTTATGCAGAGTGTGGTGATTTCTTCGAGGAACCATTTAAGTCATCCCACATTGGGATATGGAAGTGCTCAAAAGTTAGCCCATACAAGGTAGAGATTCGTCCGTCAGACATTACTTGTAAGTGTTTTGGAATTCGTACAGATAGGTATGCAGTTGCGGTGCCTTTGCCTCATACTTTTCCATAACCTGCTTAGACAGTTGTGTCAATCGTCGGCATTCCTGCATTCAATTGCCAAGCGGACTAATAAGACAGTAAATTTTGTTTACATCATATTTATCATTTCTTACAGAAAGAAAAAAAGAATTATACTGTATTACGGAAAGCTGGGTCCAAAGAATTATTCATAGCTGCCAGAAGTTGGATGCTATCCGAAGACCTGTGCTTGTATCATAGCAGTATAACAGATAATGAAGTTGAGGCTTGCGTAAGACCTCGACCGGAATGGGTGTTAACGGATTGTCAAATGTTAGCTGAACTAGGTAACTATTTACGTGTTACCTACATTACTGTAATTAGACTCTTTCGTAGAAGCCAAGAATACTTTGCAGGCTACTAAACGAATACACAGTGTACTCTCCAATTCAGATAATATGGAGGAAACATTACCTCTTACCAATTCCAAACGTCCAAGGTAGATTCTTCTTATTGCTTAATCACAGAATGCAGAGTTGAGACAAAGAACTCGTCTTACGCTTACGACTCAATGGAACTTGAAGCAGTGGAGGCACAGAAAGTTTGTTTGCCTTCAAAATACCCGACAACAAATTTCATGGAAACTGTTATGTCACCGATAGCCAGGTAACGCATTCCTTTAATATCATTACTCCTGCAGCACTTCCACTCAACAAATGCCAGTGGCAACTTCTTCACCTATAGCGCAACTAGTTCAGCAGACTACGTATGTCATTTTTCATTAGTATTTACTTTGCAGTAAGGAAAACTGTGAATCAGATAATAAAGTAGCCAATGAGTTGCAGTCCCTTAAAGGAGAAATGCATTCCTTTAAAGGAGAAATGAAAGCAGAACTTCAGTCGCTGAAAACAATGATGGCGCAATTGTTGTCAGTGAATAAGTCAACGTGTGTGGCCGCCGTTGGAAGTGGGAAATCAACCATTGACAATAGTCAACTGCAATTCCCCGTAACTACTGAAGAAGAATTCACCCAACTAGAAGCGTCACTTAAAAATCCCAAATTTAAAGAATCATTCGTAAGTTCACAATAAACCTTTACTTAATTTCAGATGATGAAAATGGTGGAAAAATTATCTTTCAATCCGGAGTCTTCGTTGAGAGCGATGCTAAATTATGTTATGGATCCTAAGCTGTCAAGTCGTTTTACAGCATTTGGAACTCCAAAGAAATTGGCTCTCACTAAATGCACCTTTTATGCAGTTATAACGTGTAAGCTTGTTTTATGTAATTATTTCTTTTAGCCGTCATTGTCAGCAAGTTCGTTTCGGCTACAATTTTTGATGACGACGTTAAGAAAATTCTAAAAAAGACTGTAAAGGCCTACTTCCATGATATACGTGATCGCATAGACAAAAGGGATAGCCGGCGAAGAGTAAGTAAACGTTTTTGGTTAAATTAATGCTACTATAGTAGCATTGCAGTGTATACACTGCAAACCCTTTCATGTTATAAATATCAATTAACTAAATTGTTTTTATTTTTTAAAGGTTGCAGTTGACAATAAGAAAAGTGATCAGAGGATCTCTCCTGTAAGTTACCATTTAAATAAGTACATGCTGTAGAAATTACTGAAACTTAAGGTCTTTAAGTGTGAGTATTTCTATTATATAGACAAATAATTTTAATTATACTCATTAACGAAATAAAATTTCAAACCTGAATGAACACGTTTAGTATTTCATTATTACAGTGTCAACTGTCTGTATAAGTGCCAGTGTGGATTACTATCTTAATGAATAATTTTTCTTTCTTTTCAGGACACTTCAATGGATCTACTTGACGATGGGGAAAATTAGTGCAAGTGCAATGAGATATTGAATAACAAGGCTATCATTCCACCTGTGTGTATTCATCGCAACTGAAATTGTTCATTAATCCTAAAGAATTAATTTACCGAAATCTTGTAAACTGTTTTCCTTTAACTCAAAAAAATCAAATATAATTTTGTCCGGTAAAAAACCTTGATTTGACTTTTGAGTTGTTTGACGTAATCAATATAAAGCTGTAGTAAATGAGTGATAGGGGGGAAATTTGCCAGGTTAACGGTGGAATATTCGTTAAAAAGGGGGACAAATTATGGTGGTAATATTCGATTGAAGAATAGAGAAATCCCGGGGACAGTATAATGAAATAATGCGATTTTTGGGGACGAAATGGCGTAATCGCGGTGACCAAATGGGGGAACTATGCGAATTCTGAGTACAGACTGGCGAAACTGTGGGGACAGAATGGGGAAAATAGGGTAATAGTGGGGACAGAATGGGGAAATTGTGGGGACAAAATGGGGTTATGGTGGGGACAACGGGACTTTACAAAATGGGGAAAATGGGTTTATAATGGGGAGAATGGGGAAAATCTTACTATTTCCCCATTTTGTCCCCATTTTAGACACGATTTTCCCCATTTTTGTCGATTTGGGACGTATCCCATACCACCGCCAGGCACTGAGGACAGTGCTTCCAGAAGGGAGGAGGCAATGTAATAGAATAAAAACCACCATGAAGTCACAAAATAAGTTTCTTTTTCAGACAGAAACGCTGACGTGGCCTTACTGGAACAGGAGGAAGTCCGTTTATCTAGTTTATCTATAAACGATGATAATTAGCTTGTATCCCGGTTAATTCAAGCCTGGCTTGGTTCAAATAAACGCCTCTTCCTCGCCTTCTTTGTCTTCATCCTTCGTCAGTTGTGGCTGTGGTCCGTGTGTGTCACACTGTCACGTCCGCGCACGATCACTAGCCAGTTCAGCAATCATCTCGGTCTACGATTTGGTCTCGAAATACATCTCGTTATTTGGACGATCAATCGTGTCTTCTATACCGTACCCTGCTTAGCTCGTGTTCGGTGCGATAATGCTAAGTAGGGTACGGTATAGTTTTTGTACTTGCTAGTGCGAGCATATAGTTTTCTGTGTAGGTTTCTGGTTTTGCCCGATGAGATACAAGGGGAGAGTTGTGAATGAAGAGGGTGGTGTGAGTTAGATAACATGGATTTTTCACATGAGTCCGAGTACCTGTCGACCAGAATATTAATAAGCTGGTTAAGTGGCACATTGCTTACCCTGCTGACAACCTTTAACACCCTACATAATTAGACATAGTCTTTCTTCAGTAGCCCTGGAAAAACTAAGGGGGAACAATACAGAATAATAGGCAGAATGCGAGAGTTAATGAATCGCACGAGTAAGGGTTAGGTTATTCCAGGATGCCTTAACTTCTTGATGTAGAAGGTAAGACGGAATATTTTCTTAGAAATCATCAAGATATGAAACGACCAGGAAAGATCAGCTAATAGAATGACGCCAAGATATTTGATTTCTGACTTGGTCTCTATTTCAGTGCCATGTATGTTGCACATCTCGTGAGTGCTAACCGGTTTATTTAGGTCAGAATTATGCTTAAAGGTGAAATTGGCTGTATGACTTTTAGGGGGATTTAAGGTAAGACCGTTTTCCTTGGACCAATGGCTGATTTCTGATAAAAAGCCATTTAGTTTGGAGCAGTCACTTTAACATTTGACAAGCAAAGATACAGTCAGATCGTCAGCATATTTAACAAAATTAATGTCATTTGAAGATGGTAAGTCATGTAGAAAGAGAGAAATGGGGAGAGTACAGCACCTTGGGAGACACCAGCTTCGGTGAGCACAGCAGAGGAGGATTAACCTTTATTTACGGTGTACTGCATTCTGTTAGAGAAGTAGGATTGCAACCAGTTAGTGACCCAGGACTCAGTTTGTCATAGAGAGCTTATTTAGCAAGAGACATCTGGGTGCAGAGCCAAAAGCAGAAGTGAAGTCAAGAAACGTGCAACGAACGTATTTGGCACCTTTATCTAATGATGAGACGATACTGATGCTTAAGACGGCTGCAGCATCTTAAGTGCTCCTACACTGGCTATATGCAAATTGTTTGGGGTCTTCAGAACTTTTAAGGGAGGGTTCAAGTTTAAGAAGTACTAGTTTTTCCATAAGCTTTAGTAACGGGGAAGTGATAAAGAGCGTTAACATCACAAGAGGGTCTCAGCAACATTTCGCTTCCTGGCCATAAGTGTTGTGATACCAACACCAGTCAGGGTTTTTTAGTGAACATGGCTTGAATTTAGATCGACCACGTGATTTTCGCTGTTGATGGGAGTTCGGACGACGGTAGGAGGAATTACAAGGCATGTTTGACCTAAGCATCTGCTGGATGGAGTTGCGTAACTCTATCACTGCAGTATCCCTAATCGAATTCTGTTTGGCAACTGAGCATATTTCAGTAGCTGGTCATTTAGTTATTTCTAGAATTTTATCTGCAGAAACAGATAAGTCATCTATGATAACGCCTGAAGTGTCACAAGTACAGTCTGTACTGACTGTGGTAGTTTGGATAAGAAGAAGTCCATCATCAAACTGACGTTGGCCAATAGCTTCTCTCATTCTTGATAGCATGTTCACGGCTGACTGATCCCCTACCTCGACGTTACGAAATAATTCGTCCAGACGCCGTCTATCCGTGAAAACGTCTCTTTAGGAGGTTTGCTTTAAGCAACTCGTACAAGTTACTTACCTCTGGACTCGACATCTGTAAGACACACAGACCACAGACACGACGGGTGGAGAAGAAGGCAAAGACGGTACGGAGGAAGCGTTTGTTTAAGGCAATGGATAAAGGCACACACGACCTTTTGGAGAGGCTGAGCACCTCAAGGTCACATATGCATACTGTGATTGGTAGATTTTACTTTACGTAAACGCTGCGGCTAATACGTAGCTCACGTTACTAAGGCGGGCTTTGAAATGATAGTAATAAAAGTCGCATAAACATTACATTTTTTCAGCTTAAGGACACAAGTTAACGCATGTATTGATTCTACAGATGTGATATGCATGTGGACCCACTAAGAAAGAGAATATTATTGGGTAACTTAATCAAGAAGTATAAAGTTTGAAGATTTAGTCTTTTTCAGTTGATTGTAACGGACAGAGAGGAGAGGCATTTGTGTAACTTTGCAGAAGACAAAGTGTGAAAGATAAAGGGAAGTAATAGTGAATTCTTTAAAGAACACCGTTGAAACATTAAAGAGATATTTATTTTGACAAATAATTTTATAATATCACAAAGATTCCAACGATAACGCGCAAATTCTTCAATTGCACTTCATTAAAGCCTCCAAATAAAGTGAACCACTCCGTAAATTACAATTGCAACCTGCAAATCAACAATAGTATGAGATCCGTTAACAAATAATTAGCAACACGAAAATACTCCAAACCAAAGTAACTATTTAAAAAAATTTGTTTATTAACTGTTATCTTGCGAATAAATCAACTAACACTCCTTTATAGCTGTAGACTCTTCTGAATGTTACCAAGTTTTCATATCTCAGAGATTCAAAACACCCTTTCGGAATTTCGTAAAATATGCATCAATTGACTAATTAATATCGTTTTCCTTAACGTAATCTACAACTTACACAGAGTTTTTAACATTCCACGTGGAAAGAAATAACGAAATTCAATGACAGATACATGTTCACTCAAACTGCTGAAAGCGTCTACTTTCCACCATTTTTCTAAGTTTTTTCGTTGAAATATGGTATTTATAATGTATTTCAGTTGAAAAAACACCTGAAAACAACGTAGAACAACCCGAACACAACATCGCGATAACACATAACGACACCTCGTGTGTGCCTTTATCCATTGCCTTTGTTTAAAGGAAGCCGGACTCAAATTACCCGGGTACAAGTTAGTTATCGTCATTTATAACAAGCTTTGATAACTGGTCCTCCTCTTGCTCCAATGATGCCACATCACCGTTTCTTTCTGAAAAAGAGAAAAAAGAAACTTGTTTAGTGGCATTGTATCGGTTTCCATTGCATTACAATCTGCACAGTTACGCATTTGATGAATTCCCGCGGTAGGGCGTGAATAACTGCAAGGAACTGTGAACGTTGATTGGTTATCCAATGCTCACTAAAATCAGACTCAGCTATCTGAAACCATGTTTCGGCATTATCTGGCCAAAATGGTACGGGCTGAATGGTTTTGGCAGTTGAGCGAATACGAATTGACCTTAGGACTAGGATCACTCATGACAAAATGTATGCCGATTACAATATAGTACAAGAACAAATACGAAAGGGAACGAACTCACCGGATTTGTCGGCGTATTTATCAAGGATGAAGTTCGCGGTTGGGATTACCAGTTTAGAGGCTGACAGTATCGACGTTCGCGGATTGTACGGAGTATACTAAAGCTAGGTCTAATACCAACAACTTCTGTAGTATTCGTTCCTCGTGGACCAAAGGCAAAGCAGAAGACACGATTGATCGTCCAAATAACGAGATGTATTTCGAGACCAAATCGTAGACCGAGATGATTGCTGAACTGGCTAGTGATCGTGCGCGATCGTGACACGACGGAGTTCCCAGTCGACTGAAACAGTGTTGGTCAGCATCCAATGTTCAGTGATGATTGCTGTGGTCAATAATTTTGGGGAATTATTCACCGCTAGAAGGGAAAAACATTGCATCGCTTATCATTGCCAGTAATTTCGTTAAGAAGTTTCCACATGTCGGTAGGAGATTTGCATGATAGAAGTGTATGATTATACATAGCATTGAGGTTTTTGATTTCAGATTTGATTAGAGCATCAATCTTTCTAAGTACTAATTTACCTTTGGGTTGATATAACATTTCTTTTTGCCTACGTAGTTCTTTGAAACGTGGAGACGAAAAGCGGTCGAAGCTTTTGAATAGTGTTTGTTTAGGACAGCATATATCGAGGCAGAACTTAAGACATTCCGTTAT